CATGGAAAAATACTAATGTTATAATTTTATGATGATAAAGTTCAAACTTTTAACAATGCTCACTTCTTATAATACTAAGCTTTGAATTAATTATTTCCTCACCAACTCTAGGAACTTCAGTTGGAGGCTTAAAAAAAAAATAACTGCAGGGAGGGGCTGGCATTGAGCATAGAGGGTATAGCTGATGCCTGTGACAACAGTCCCATATGGGCACCAGTTCATGTACCGATTGCTCCAGTTCCGATCCAGCTCCCTGCTAATGTGCCTGAGAAGGCAGCAGAAGGTGGCCCAAGTGTCTCAATCTCTACCAGCCATGTGGGAAACATGGATCATGGATGAAATTCCTGGCTTCGGGCCTGGCCCACAGCTGGTCACTGCAGCCATCTGGTAAGTGAACCACAGATAGAAGATCTCTCTCTCTCTCTCTCTCTCAACTCTGCCTTTCAAATAAATAAATAAATAAATCTTAAAAAATAACTGTACGGGCTTTTTTCAACTTTCAATCATAGACCTAGAAACTCCAAATATCCTCATCTGGAGGAGCACTACACGTACTCATACTCCGTTCGTAAAAGGAACAGATTCATCCTCAGATTGTTTACATTTCAATGGAAGATACAAAGCAGACATTTTAACAGTAACATCAACTTTCTAAAAGCAAAAGAAGCTTACAGTGACAGAAGTTGCAGTTTTTGAGAAACAAAGATTCTCTAACCTCAACTTTTTTTCTTCCAAAAAGAGAATAATTGTAAAAACATCAAAGGCAATTTGAGGGACATACAAGACCAGCAAACAAATGCAGCTGGTGCCTGCCTGGCCTGAGACTAGGAAGGCAGAAAAGAAGACTAACTGCTCCCTCTTTCAGTCCTCTCTTCTCTCATCACAGCTTCTTTCTAATTAACCATCTTGCACAGGAGCTGTCAGCTATGTAAATCAGATAAGTTGTTGACCTTCCACTAACAATAATCTTATTATATCTACTTTAATAGGGAAGAGCTTTGTTGAGTCCAACAAATGTGTATCATCCCAATCACAGTTGTCATTGGCCATTATGTAGCCAATGGACTTGCTATCTTTGAATCAAGTGCTTATTCTTGGCCTAAGTGAGTACGTCTGAGAATTTGAATGAGTCATAGGGCTTTACCCATTTTATATGGGTATAGATTGACAGCATCCACTGTAGGAAAGCTCTGTGAGCTATAGAGAAGTGCTTGGAGTAATGAAAGTTCCAAGTTTGTATCGAGAAAGAGATGAGAGAATTAAGGAAATTATCTCATTTTGCTCCAATTTTATCTCACTGACTTTCTCTGATAGCACCTAATAAGTCAGTAACTGTACTGAAAATATATTTAACTAAAGAGATGTTTAACTTTATCAATGTTAAGCCTAAATAAAGTGTTGTCAACTGATAGAAACTGTGTAAACTTTAGGGAATTCTCCAGACAGTAACAAGACCGATGTTCTACAGCTGCTATTCCAGTGATTTGTAGAATACCGCACATTGGTGCTTCTCCACACCCCCTAAAAATATTGTGACTCAGAAGTTCTAAATTTAATAATCAGAAAAACTTTCATAAATTAAAGAACACAATGAACTATCACATATTTTTATATAATTCTCCTGATCAACATAACCTCTTGCTCATGGTGCTCTCGCTTCTCAAGGTAATTCCATGTCCACTTCATATGAGTTCAAAGTAGGAACACAATGAACGGTGGCTATAAAAAGAAAGCCAGACTTTCAAGTGGTCTTGACACTGTATTATTCCTCTGAAAGTTAGGTGTGATCTTATGGCTGAAAAGGAATGAGAATATTGATTCAGACGTGAGGATGAGAATTTGCCCACAGCATGGATCAGACCGAAGTAACGAGACATACTGCAAACAGCATTCTATAGTCAGAAGACTGTTCTTGTACTTTTCATTCTGTTTTTATCATGTGGAATACATATAAAAATGAAGCAAAGAGAACTTCTAATATGGAAAAGTGGCAGAGGAGCTTATAAGAAAGGAAAATATGACACAGAGTATAATAAAACATACATTATTTTAATAAACCAGACACGAAGGAAATCTTATAAAAGACCACAAAGCATTGATGAATTACTTTTCATGACTGCAAAGGAAGTTGTCTTGCTGGATTACCTCAGTGCAGTGCACTTGGAAATAACAAAGAAAGTTCTATCCACTGGTAAATTTTTAAAAGGCTCATTATTTTTCTCAAAGTGAAAAACAGATATAAGATTAGTGTGATTCTATGCAATACCTCGTATTTGTCACCACCTGGACTATCTCAACACCTGGTGTAAAACATAGGCAGCATTCTTTTTATTTAAAGCAGAAAACAAATTATGAAGCCAATGGACAAGTTACTTTTTAAATAATAACTTCTGTAATGTCTGCCCTTTGTATTTTTATTTCATATCTGTCCCCAAAAGATAAGATATTCTATAATATATGAATAAAGTAATAAAATAACAACTGTAACAAGTTATTAAGCAACACCATTTACTCTTAAAATAAATGATGTAATTTTTGTGCATATAATTGGTAAAAATAATGGTCCTCACCTGTGTTTTTTTAATACAGCTGTAAATATTTTAGTGAAAGATTCTTCATCTTATAAGTTGAAGTATACCACAATTTAGTTTGATAATTACTGTTTCACACATATTTATGTTTAAATTGAGTCACAACTGGTACTCTGAAAATACATTCTATGGAGTTTTCATTCAATGTACACAGTTTCTACTTTGTTTCAGTATTGGGTATTATACCTTTCTTGCTTTAGTTAAAGGACAAGTGGGTCCTGATAGTTTTTCTCTGATGGCAGTATCCACAGATAGTGTCTTTACAAGCCAGTCACCTACTCCTAGGAATGAAATATTTTCACATGAAGGAAACTGTGTACCCTTACTACTGCACAGCTTTGGTGGAGGGATAACAGGCTGTCAGGGAGTTGATGAATGGATGATCTTTAAACATTTACTGCTTATGGAACTGTCAGCAAATGACTCACTGGATGTTTTTTCTCTTCTCTAAAATTGAGCAGCTAGACTAACTGATCCCTAGCATATCATGGGAAGCTGCACTCTTCAGTGCTAGGGAAAAACATGCCATGCTCAGAGCAGTGAGAGGTCTCCCTAAAACATGCCCCCATTAAAGCAAGCAAGCAAACCAAAAGGATTAATAAGAACTAGCTCTCTTAGAAGATACTCCAGCCAAGGACATGGGCATGAGTTAATGTCAAAATACAAGTCATTAAAAGAAAATTTCATTGTCCTGTCCACATAAGAAACTGAAGCAAGTGATAAATAAGGTGTCGAAAAGGACCAAAGGAGATGGGGGAAAAGTACATGAAAAGAACAAAAACAAAAAAAATAGGAATGACCTAAAAGTTGGTTCTTATCACACTCTACATCACATTATAGACATTATAAGAAATTAAAGTGTTACTTAAGTATAAAATGAAGTAAAAGCTGTTTTCTTGATAAATACTCAATCCAGAAGTTTAAAACAAATTGAACTCCAAACTACTAAATTCCACTGAAATTACACAAGGGGTGATCTACCCAAGACGTGAGAGACGTGGCTGGTTTATTTACAGAAACTAGCTTCTGGGAGCCACAAAAAGTTTACAGGAAGGTCAACATTCCATATTTTAAATGTTAACACATTACACTTTCATGACCTCTAAGTTCTTCCGTGTTGATTTCCATCATCACAAATACACTTCCCATTTTAACTGAAAAGCAATCTTTTAAATTTATTTATTGAAAATACAGTAGTCAAGAGAAACAGCTTAAGCCAAAATTACATTACCTAAAAGAGTAACAGGCTATGAAAGTTTAATTCTATTAGCACATTAAAGGAACTTCATCCAGAATGTACTTTTTGTTGCATTTCTCACCATGAACATCTCACTAATTTTTAATACCCAAGTGAAGCATGTTTTTTTTTTTTCATTTTTCAAAACTGAACAGTTTTACTATTACAGGATTTGCAAATGCATTTGAAACATGAAGGTATGTTCAAGTTCGGGGAAAATTTGCAGTAGGCATGGGTTTCCAAATGTGTTATACCAAAATAAACATCACATAACTCCAGCTTTTCAAGTACTTTTCTACTTCGACAAGAATCGAATACAACTGATTTCACGCCCTTTTGAAAATGTATTCATCCATGTTTTTATTCTACCAAATGGATGGTTGTCTTTTGTCCCAGTTAGTGAAGGCTGTGGCCAGGGCAGCTGGCCGTGGAGTTTCTCCGTAGAGCAAACTATCTCCTAGGCACGTCACACTCCATCCCAGAAGCCAGTGTACCAGCCCGGGGCTTTGTTAGGCCTGGCGCATAAGCCACAGCGCTGCAACAGCGTGTTTTCACTACATGCTTACAGAAATTTCATGCATGCCTTGATTTTTATTTGTTTGTTTGAGAGGTAGAGGCTGGGAGCCAGGAACGCAATCCAGGTCTCACAAGTGGGTGGCAGAAACCCAACTACTTGGGCCATCACGTACATGCTCCCAGGGTCCTCATTAGCAGGAACTCTGGAGACAGGAGCCAGACCTAGAACTTGAAGCCAGGAATGCACCTGTGCACCCGATGTCCCAATCAGGCGTCCTAACTGCTTAGCACAATGTCCACCCCATGTATAACTTTGAAACATGTTCCACAGTGACTTTGCGAACTATTGGACTCTGTCTCAATAGCTCTGAAAATTCCAACCTTCAGAATCCCGAGGGCCAGAGCTGAGCGCTGAGCTGGAAGCTAGCTCCCCACCTCTTGACATCCCTGATTGCCCAGCAGGAGGCCTGGGGCCAGAAAAACCCTCGGGCTGCCCCAAGCGGCGGGAAGAAAGCGGACGCGCTGCTCACAGGAGCGTGTTGGCCTCGGCGGCCCGAGTTCGGTTACTGTCTAGCGGCGGCCTAGGGTCTCCGCAAAGCCCCAGAGCCGTCCGGGTGGCCTCCCCCTCCGGCCTCTCCGGACGCGCGTGCACCAACCTGGGGGCGCTGGGCCGCCGCGGGGCGCGTCCCGGCTCACGCCCGCCTTGCTCCGCGTCGCCGGCAGCATCGCGGTGGCCAGAGCCCGGGAGCCTGCGGACCGCCCTGCCTGGCCTCTGCCAGCCGGAGTCTCCTCGCACTCTTTGCTCCGCGCTGCTCCCGGGCCTGCTTTCCACGCGGAGCGGCTGTGGCCGCGGTCTGCGGAAACGCAGCCCCGGGGTTCTAGCCACAAGACCCGGGCTCGGAAGTGAAACTTCTCAGTAGGGCGTTGCTCCTGCATCCTTTTTCTGAAGGCTGCCTGGGTGGTTTTTGCATACTTCTCCCTGGCCCTGGCTCCCTCCTCAGCCATTCTTGCAGGGTCTGCCCAGGCCTATGCGTTTACTGTTAATTCTGGACCCGTTCTAGCTATTGCTTCGGGCCCCCTACTTCCAGGAATAAACAGGGCAGGAAAATGTGGGTATCTGCTGGAAAGAGGGAGCCAGAGGGACAAAGATGTAGATAAAATCATTAATTTTACCCTGATTGTCTAAACAGGATTCATAAATTGTAAAGCGATTTTTAACTCCCATATAAAATGTATCTCCTACTCTTATTCCACTTCAGAAATACGTCTAAGTTAAAAAAGAAAAATAAGGAGCGCTGGACCTCCAAACAAGATGTGTGTGTGTGTGTGTGTGTGTGTGTATTTGAAAGACAAATACCAACCGAGTTGTACCAGAGCCTTAAAATAAATGTCCTTTCTTCTCAAGGATCTCTAACCAGTAATTTACCTTCTAAAGCAGAAGATATTTTGAAGATCAGCTTGAAGATTTGGAAATGATATATGGTTTAAATGACCCTGTCTCCCTTAACAAGGAAACCTAAATATAATATAAAAAAAAGGCTTGGTCAGCATCTATTTCTCTTACAAAGACTTTTATAACAATATTGTAAATATCAAGTGTCAAAGAAAATGTTAACTTTTTTTCACATAACTGGACTGTTTAGTAAGAACTTTATAATGTAATGTAGAAAACTAGGAGGAATATGTGAAGGGCCAGACAGTTTTGGAAACTATTTTAGATACTTTGGTTGTTCCTTTGACCTCGTTATCAATTTTGAGTCATTTCTGTATTTGAATAACAGAATATTTTATGTAATTTATGAAATAATATATTGTAAGGTCTATTTTGTTCTCTATATGAGTTTACCATGAGGCTTCAGTATAATAAGTTAAAGAAAGAGGATTTGGTTTGAAGGGTCTGTATATGCTTTTGGTCAATATTCTCAGAATTCAATTTTTAGGAAAGCATGAGTCTTCTTAAGTGAAATTATAATGTCCTAATTGATGCATTTGCTTGTGGACATAATCCTGACAACAGCTAATCTCAACAACATACACTCTCGAACGTATGCTCCCAATTCTATGCATCCATCTATGCAAATAAAAGTTTGTTAGTAAGGACAATTTTCAGATTATAGATCTTATCTGTCACATGTACAGAACAGCTGTCCTGTGTGCAGCCCCCTATAAAATAATTTGGTTCATCCTGACTCAGCACCTCTCTGGGAAACCAGAACATTTCTTAATGTTTCTGAACTTTACGTATCTCACCTAAATGAGGAACTTGGAAGAATTATATCCCAGTGTCTGCCAGCTACTAAGTTTTAGGACACTATAATATATATTGAAAATAAGATTCTCGATACGTACATAAAATTAAGTACATTTTCACATGCTCATTTCCACTATTAATGTCAATAAGATCTTGGAGAATGGAAAAATGAAAGTGAAATGCGTTTTAAAATATGAGTATTTTTTAAAATTTGGCTTAGAAAATCTTTAAGAAATTCCACTAAACTGTAAAAAGCATTCCAGCTGGGATGGGGCCAGTGCTGTGGTGCAGCCAATTAAGCTGCTGCCCTCAGCGCTGGCATCCCATGTGGGCACCAGTTCCAGGTCTGGCTGCTCCATTTCTGATCCAGCTCCTTGTTAATGTGCCTAGGAAAGCAGCAGAAGACGGCCCAAGTTCTTGGGCTCCTGTACCCATGTGGGAAATCTAAAACAAGCTCCTGGCTCCTGGTTTGCACTTGGCCCAGCCCTGGCCTTTGCAGCCATTTGGGGTGTGAATCAGGGGATAGAAGATCTCTTCCTCTCCCTCTCCTTCTCCTCTCTCTCTCCCTCTCTCTCTCTCTCTCTCTCTGTAACTCTGACTTTCAAATAAATAAATAAATTTAAAAAGAAATCATTCCAGCTACTTTTATTTTGGATCTAATGAGAACACAGCTCTTATTTAATAGTTGTAAAGTAATGGATAACCCACTAGCTTATGTATTTTATTAGTTACTGTTAATAGCTATTCTGTTTTTTTTTTTTTGTTAGAAGAAATTCCATGTGCCAACACTTTGTAAAAGTTTCACAATATTTATGTCATTTTGTTTTCAAAACAATGTGGCTTTAGCTATATTTTACAAATGCAGAAACTGGGTTTTAAAAGTTTTAAGTGACACAGGTAGAATTCAATCCTAGAGCTGATTCCATATCATATCTTTTTGATTAGGTTCACCCTCTTCCTTTTTAGGTGATACATAAATCTTAATAAAGAGCATGTGGATATCATAGCCAACTCTACACACACACACACACATGCACACACACAATAGTCTTTATCTGTGGAGGATAAATTCCAAGACCCCAGTGGAAAGTGTGGCTGATTCCAAACACTATGTAGATGTACTATGCTTTTTTCCTGTACATGCACACCTACCATAAAGTTTAACTTATCAATTAGGCATAGTGAAATATTATTAACAATAGCTATTACTACTAATTATAACGTACTATAATAAAAGTTATATGAATATGATCTCTTTTACTTCAGGAATTTTCCATTTAATATTTTTAGATCATTGTTGACCATAGATAACTAAAACCATGGAAAGCAAAACTGCAGATAAGGTAGGACTACTGTATAGAAAAACTGCTCTCCATCCACTTTATAATCCTGTTCAACTAAAAATTAATGTTCTTAAAAATAGACGTGAGCTACACTCACTATTCATTATAATTTTGGCACTATTTGGTAGAGGATGTAGATGTTCACACACACATACACACACACACACACAAACATACTCGTATGGTAACCTAAGTCTTATATGTATTCTAACTTTGTTAGTGCATCCACGAAAATATATTTTAGAAAAGCCATAATTCGTTTGAGTCTTGTTTCTCAGTATTGAGCACATATTTAATCACAGTTGACTTTATTCTACCCCCTGCTTTCTCCCTTAAGGAGATCACACTGTCTGAAATGTTGAGTTATCTCTTAGTTCACATTTGTTCCCAGGGAAAAGGCACTTAGTAATTCTCACACCGAGAGGCTTTTTCACTCTGAATACCACCAGCAGTGGGTAATCGCAAGTTTCTGATTTTACCTCAGTTACAGAATGCCAGAAAATGCTAGCTACAGTTGGTTTCTTGTTTTTCAATATATCAGACTCTTGGATCCATTGACTTCTTTCCTTGCATTCTTCCTTCTAGCACCACACTGACAACCTCAATCTGATTATCCCACTCTGTGGAGATTATAAGAGCCCCACGCTGACTCTATGTTCCAGTAATTGGATAGCTGAAGCTGTTCACTAAGGCCTTGCACCGGTTGCCATGGCTGATTCTTAGTGCCTTTGCAGACTGGATGCTTCTGCTCATGCTATTGGAATAATTTCTATGAATTCTAAAGATATTTGAAGAACGAACCCAATTCTTTCCTAAAACAACCAGCCTTGTAAGAGTGAAATCATTTGCATACTCAGGACTATTTATTAATTGGAGAATTTTCTTCTCAATGGACATATCTATATTTTTGAACACTGTATTATTCCCCTAAGATTTTATTATGCTTTTTATTTTTTAACTCAAAGCTAGACCAAATATTAGAAAAATGTGAAGAAACCTCTTAGCAATAATACTTTTCTGTTATTACTGGGAAATTTTATTCATTTTTTAAAAAATTCTTCCTCACGTTTAACTGAATTCTGTAATTTTAATCTCACTGTGCAATGACCCCTCCCCCTAAAGATGTCCATATCTGAATCTGAAGAACCTGAGTTTCTACTACATTACATGGAAGGAAGAATTATGTTAAGATGTCGGTATGGGAAGATGATCCTGGCTTATTGAGGTATGGTCATTATCATTAGGTAAGCATGTGGTCCCTAGAAGGTGGAGGCAGGAAAGTCAGAGTTGGAGAGGTGTCACAAGGAAGTGGGGCTTGGAAGTAACGGGCCTCTAAGGCAAATGGCTTCTGGGACCTGGAAGAAGGAAGGAAACAGATTCTCCCGCTGAGACTCCAGCAGGAACCAGCCTTGACTTTTAGCCAAGTGAGAGTGATTTTGGATCTCTGACCTTCAGAACTGTAGGATGATAAATTTGTGTTGTTTTAAGCCACTACATTGTGGTAATTTATTATAGCAGTGATAGGAAATTGCCATATCAACCTTGGTGAAAAAATGAGTGAAAGTTACCTATAAGAAAAGTGTTTTTGCATCCTTCTAAATAAACTTTTTTTTTTTTTTGACAGGCAGAGTGGACAGTGAGAGAGAGAGACAGAGAGAAAGGTCTTCCTTTGCGTTGGTTCACCCTCCAATGGTCGCCGCGGCCGGCACGCTGTGGACAGTGCACCGCGCTGATCCAAAGGCAGGAGCCAGGTGCTTCTCCTGGTCTCCCATGGGGTGCAGGGCCCAAGCACTTGGGCCATCCTCCACTGCACTCCCAGGCCACAGCAGAGAGCTGGCCTGGAAGAGGGGCAACCGGGACAGAATCCGGCGCCCCGACTGGGACTAGAACCCGGTGTGCCAGCGCCGCAAGGCAGAGGATTAGCCTAGTGAGCCGTGGCGCCGATCCTAAATAAACTTTTAAAGACTACTTAACTCCATTTACCAATAACTTACTATGTCCCTATAGAGCAATATCTCATTGCTAATTGTTGCTTGTGACAACTCTTTGATATTCCCTGTTGCTGGGCTTTTGCATTCCACAGTTGCTTCTGTTTTCTAGTGATGGAATGGATGTACTGCTTTTCAATTAGATTGAGGATGGCCTGAGGAAATATCCATGTCTTCTGTTTACACTGTTACACATACCCTCACCCCATTCCAACCACACCCCTACCTGTACTAAGAAGTGAAAGTAAGTTGGCTGGAAATAAGCTTTCTTAATAGATCGGCATTTAACAAACAACACTATAAAACATTGAATGTCATGAAATCAAAAATTCTCCATTTTCCTTTTTGGGATTTTTTTTTTTTTTTTTTTTTTTTTGCTTTGGATGTGAACTGCCATCATTTGTTTCCGTTTCTATCTAACACTTATTGATT